TCATCAGTTATATAAATTGGCTTAATCGAATCAAAAGTTTACACGCAATACTGTAAAGCAAAATGTGGACTTTTGTTTGTATAATTATGCAAAAAGTGCCGCTCGATTGAGTAAAAGTTCAATTTAATGCACCAAATACGGTACGTATCTTTCGAATGGATCCAATTAAATACTGTACGTCAGCAAATTCTGAGAGCTAAAATGAATTTTGTGCAAAAACTTTCCCAAATTTTTAACAGGTTTTAGACGAGTGGTAAGCAGATTGAATCTCGCTTTCCATTTGCAATAGTTTGTATTTAGGAACGATTTGTTCTTCATAGCAGAATTTCTTTATTAATTTCTAAACAGATCTGCTATTCTATATATGTTGGAAATATACAATATATGCGGAACGTAATAGTACTAGTGTGTTATGTATGTATGTATGTATGTATGTGTGTGTGTGTGTGTGTATGTGTGTGTTTGTGTGTATTAACATATATTTTATATTGCATATTCTACCATGTTGTATATATATATTAGTGCACGTACAAAAGGTAATTATTGGTTTTCTTTTCATTTTTTTATATTTTTTTTCATAAAACATTAACTAGACGTTTCTGTTATTTTTTGGATTATTTTATTTATTATTTTTTTTTATATATAATTTTTTGTGTTTTTTTTTGTATTAATTATGAATTTTTAAAAATCTAGAAAAAGCACAACACGTTTACGAATGGTCTTTTGGAAAAACCATTTCTTAATATATTTCTTTTTTTTTTTCAATATATTAATTTATAATAATTTTCTTTAAAGACAAATATAGGTAATTAGTTGATTTAATTATTTGTTGCTGTATTTCTTTTTGATACGTACTAACGCATAAAATTTGTGTTAAAAATGTCTGAGTGGATAATAATTGTTTGTTTTGCGATTTTTATAAAGCTTAACACTAAGTAAAAAAAAAAAAAAAAAAGCAATGGACAACAAAAGTAAGACAAAAATTATTTTTTATTCAAATAAAATTTGGAATTAAGAAAACGAAAATTTGAAGAAATTCTAGTAATGTTACCTCTTCTTTTTTTTTTTTGTTTTCTAAATCTAAATAAGTTTAAATCGTTGCTTTGGATTTGTTTTGTTGTTGCTGTTGTTGTTTTTGTTTCTTGTTTAGTCTCTAGGTTTACAATTGAAGAGTTTTTGAATTATATATATATATAATTCTATATAATTTTATAAATTTGTTATACATACAGATATAATTTCTATTATTGAGGTGTAAAAAGCAAGAATAAAGTTTTTGTTTTTGTTGTTGCTGTTTAATAATTAAAGTTTTTTTTAGTAAAATAATTTATTAAATAATTAGGCTTAAATTTATATTTTAATTGTGTTGTTTTTTGTTATTATTTTTGTTATATTTGTATATAATGTACATACGCTAGTTTGCAAATGGAGGGCAGGAATCAATTTCATGTTATTTGTTGTTCTTGTTCTTTTGTTTTTGGTATTACTTTTTTTTTTTTTTTGAATATTTTTCTTTGATATTAAGAAGAAAAAAAATAACAAAAACCTTTTATTATTAGGCTTATTTCTTTTTGCTTTGGTTAAAAAGACGGGAAGGAGACCCAAAGAAAAATAAAAACTACTTGGTGGCTCACAATCTACTCTAAGTCACATTGATTACATAGAAAGAAAGAGATTTTCCAAAATTTTAATTTTTATTTTATTCATTTTAATTTTTTTTTTTTTTTTAATTTAACTTTTTAACGAATAGAATGGTCTTGAATTGAATTCAATTTTCAAATATTTATAAAAAAAAATAAAGTAAAAAAGTTATACGTATTCTCCCCATGGATATCTATCACACTTATAATCGCAAAAATCTCCTTATTAATTGGCTATTCAGAGTCGAAACAGTATCTCGCATTTTAAAGCAATACACAAGCGCACTAGTGATGCTAAGTCAACGTAAAAAATCTATTCAATAGCGTCCTATGTCTTTATAGATGTCACACCCGGGGGGATATATCTGATAGGGTGAGTATAAGTCAATAAAGAATATAATTACGCTAAACATCTTTGATGAGTACATTTGAGTTTAATAATTAAATAGAGAAATCTTCATAGTTCAGTCCGACCCACACAAGAGCATTACACAAGTTCTATTTATTTTTGAAGCAAACAGGACTTTTTTGTTCGGATTTATTAAACTTTTTCTTTAAAGTGGGAGCAAAAGGGATTTCGCTTATCTTGATCGGACCTTTCTCATTCGCCTACAATGCACAACTGATCAACCTTCCTTTTTAAGAATAAGAAGAACTCATGTTACAAAAGTCCCAAGCAATTTGCAGATTTGGCAGTCGTAAATATAAACAACAAGCATTCAGAATAAAAAGAGATGTTTCAAGAGCTGAGTTAGTGGACGTTCGTAACCGATAAAGTTTCTTATCTACCACTTCTAGCAGAATTGTGTTAATTAGCTAAGGGAACGGAAGCGCGTTTTCGAAAATTGTTTCGCGAGAACAAAGACAAAATCTCTAGAGAGCTAGACCATGAAAACATTAAATATGGCATCACTTTAAGCAGCACTAGGAACATCAAGAAGATGCCAAATATACCCATATATAATATACGCATCTCTGCTGTAAAAATACCTCTTCTTTTTTCTGACTCACCAGCAGCTTAAGTACATATCTGAAGTTTTTTTTTTATTTAATAGATACCTCTCATTTTCTTCTCTACCCAAAGAGGAATTAATTGGATTTCGAACTTATTTACCTAAAGAACGAAAAGAGATCTGTGTTCCGAGGGTTCAAAGATTTCTAAGTAAGAAACACTAAAACATCTCTTTCGTTGATATCTTTTCTGATCAGTTCTAAGCATCGAAAAAGTGACGCAAGCAATTTTCTAGACTTTAGAAACTTCTGGAGACTAAAGATGAACTATATCAAAAAGCAAACAGAGATGAAATAATTAAATCCTTTTAGCTTTTCTGTGCAGCATTCTCGTTACATTAACGAAAGCTTCGTCTTTGGAGTTAAGCAATCGTACACCGTTGAATAATGCTCTAGAAAACTTCCTAGAACTCTTCCTGATCTTTGAATCTTTGGGCACATGTTATTTAAACTTTGGTCTTTGTGAGAAAAAAAATTACAGAAAACATTGATCGCTGCAATATGAGTAAGTTATTTAAGCGAATTATCCACAGTCGCCCCTAGCTTCGCTCTCTTGTCTAAGGACTGAATGCGTTTAGTAGTAAAGAGAATCGTTTGACAAAAGTGCAAGCAGCTTACTGGTTAGGTGATAAACTACAAAAAAAGTGACATCATTTCGTTCAATCTAAGATGACGATGGTGAATAGAGCAATTGTTAGAGTGCTTTTAAACCGATTACACTTAATTCACCAATTTCGTTTGCTTCTTAGGTATGTCGTGATGTTTGTGAAACCGAATGCCTTCACACTATATGCCCACTTCTGCCATGATATGAGAGCAAACTGTCAAAGCAGAATAGAAAGAAAAATTAGAACACTTGACCGAACGACTGCATACCATAACAACATAGGAGATGGATATATGTGTTATGAAGTGTGCTTTAACTTAGACAATCTGACCACTGCAAGACGCTGATCGGAGAAAGGCCAATGCAATTAAAAAGGGTAGACTGAAAGAATTTTTGAAAATCCAAAATATATAAAATACCAATTTTCTGAATATCAATATATTCTATTTTTTTTTTTGATAATTTTTTTTTTTTTTTAAATATAAAAATGTTTTGTTTTCCTAAATTTTTTGAAATAGTTGCAAAACTTGTAAGAGTTAATTTTTTTTATTATCATGATAACTTTTTTTTTAGATCATCAAGTCCTTTAAGTTGCTACCATAAAAGCTAAATACTGAGTTTTGTTTAGATACGTTTTTTTTTTTTTTATTCAATATTATTATGTTTTAAACATACACATACAAACATACTGGGGGAAAAAAGATTGCTTCTTTAGTTACAAATAGTTGATCTTAATAATTGTTGTTGTTTTTTTTTTTTCGTACAACATTTAATTAAATTCAGAATGAAACTCTATTAATCACCCATAATTATCGTAAAAGGTAAATATTGTTATGTAATTGATAAAAAAGGTTTGTTCGTGTAAACGATACAAATCTCTTTCGTAGAAAGTGTGAAGACTTGCCTGCTGTATATATACAAATATATATATATTTGTATATGTGTGGGTGTTCGTGTGTATATGTATATAATCTTTTTTTTTTTTGTTTTTTTTTAATTTTTTGATTTGCAAACAACACACAAGTATTCATATGTATCTTAAGAAAAGCTAAAGAAAAAAAATTGCATTTCTTTGTTACTAAACATTAAGAGGACATTTTTAAGAGTTTATATAACAGTTTCACGTAGCGTAGTAATATCTTAATTGATCCTTGCAAATTGTCCATTAAAATTACCTTAAAACTCATATGGGGTTTAACGCTGAATCCTACACAAGCAAGTCAGAGGACTTGTTTACAGTAATATATATATATATATATATTTTTTTTTTTGCTTCTTTCATTTTTTGTTAACAATGCGTTTGTGCGTAAAGCAGTTCGATTAGCACGGAATTAATAATATTTTAAATTTTCATTCATTTTCTTTGAATAATACATACATAAATACACATACATTTTACATACAGTTACCATACTAGTGCTTTGTTTAGGTTTCTGAAATAATTTATTTCTTTCCCTGCAAATGGCTGTCAAGTAGATTTTCAGCGGAGTGTATTAAGACTTTTGTTTATTTATTTACTTATTCTTTCTGTTTATATTAAAAAGGAAATAAAAACCATAAGTCATAATAAGTTGCATTTGGTGGTACTGTAACTGGACTAAACATTATACGTATATGTGTATATACATATATATGTATACACGCATATATATACATGTACATATGTCATGATGGACTTTATTTAAACAGCTAACGATCGAACGAATAAATATATTATACCAGAAAAAGAATTAATTTTCATCTTTGTTTTTTTTTTTGTTTGCTTTTGGAGTTAATTAGAAAGCTATCAGGAGTTCTGCTGCAACATTGAAAATTTTAACCATTGTATGTGCTTGTGTTTGCATCTAATTCACCTTAATTAAATCATTTCTAATATTCTAAATAGTAGAAAATATAAAACTATATACACTTCTAAGCGGGATATAATGCTCTTGTAACAAGAGCATAAAAAAGAATAATAATAATAAAATGTACGATTTCGTTGCTTTCTTGTTTACTATATAGCTCATTTGCTTGAATAATTTCAATGGGCTTGGGTTGCGGTGGCAGCGGTATTTTGGTTTTGTTGAGCTGGTGATACTGCTGTTATTGAAGCGTTAGTATTACTATTATGACTGTTTCCGCTTGTTGGATTATTGGCGTTAACACCACCTGTTGAAGCATTAGCTTGCTGCACAGTAGTCTGTTGCTGCTGGTGTTCTGGATTATCGAAGTAATCAGAGGCATTACCACGACATATTGGGCAAGTACGATTTGACTAAATAATAGAAAGATTAATTAGCTTTATCATCAGTTTTATTATTATTATTATTATTACTTTTTTTTTTTGGCACAATTTGACAAATTTTGCCAATTTTCAACATTCTTACAATCAAGAAATTGTTTCTATTCGACTTATATCGATGGACGTTTTTATATGTAGTTCTATCTTACAATCAAATGCGAAACTCGAGATTGATTATCAAGAAAACTCGATCCAATTAGAATACGGTTTCTTAGTTGTAAAAATGTAGATAGATGATTCCTTAATTGAGAACACCCTTACCTTTAACCATTTGTCCACACACTTGGCATGAAATTCGTGAGTACAGGGTAATACACGCAGAACTTGACGCAACTCGAAATCGCACATACATACCACACAAGATGTTTGATCGCCTAAAATGCAAAAGATATGAGCAAAGAAATTCTATTTTTATGAATTTTCTGCTCAAAAGTGTTTTTAGACGATCTTTTCAAGCTTAAAAAAAAATTAAAGAAAGAAAATTATATTCGATTGTGATCGAATCTTTTATATCCACCACCGTTATCCTGAGAAATACTAAAAAGAAGGTAAAGCACTAAATTTTCATACTCTGTAATATTAGGTGACCGCGGCTGATTTTATTTACTTTCAGAATAGAAGTGGAAATTTATACGGTGTATGTGTTGTATTTTATGAGTAAGAAGCGAAAAACACGAAAAGCAATTGTGTTCAGAGTTTTTGCTATATAAGCGTGTGAACTTATTGCAGGCGTGTCTTTTGACCGTTTTGGGTTATTTTTAAATTCTTTTGCAAATTTTTCAGCAATATCTTCATATTCGTGAACGCGCGCATGTTTACCACAAACACCATACAGTCGCGCAGACAGACAGATGGACAGACGATATTTGGATGCATTCCGAATTTCAAACTGACCAAAAATCTATATACTTTATGGGCTTTTTGAAGCTTGCTTCTGCGCGTAATAAAGGTATTGAGAACAAAATTAAATTTTGGTACACTATAACATTGGATAGGTGTGATTAAATTCTTTTCCTATGTTTCGGTGACGGATATGGATGGACATAATTAAAGCGAAAAGCAGTTGAAAAATAACCCAGCGGAACACAAATTTTTTTTTTTGGAATTGTATTATATGAAAACCTTGTTATAATATTCGCATATTTTATATCATGTTGTATTGAAAGCACGTTTGGATAGGTTCCGTGCCGTGCGAGGGACACTATTACTGTACTATTATTATATGGTGTGGCATCCAAAAAATAGATTCATTCTTGTGGTTCAAATGCGATTCAGTTAATTTCCATACAAAGTTACTGTTATGGACAAACTTTTCTCATAACATATTAAAAATGTGACTGTTGTTATATATAAGATTTATATTACATGAAAATTGTTGTATGCGATGATGTTCAAAAAATATATCTACTTGATCCAAATTTGATACTGTTAAGTTTTATATCAAATTACTCTTAACAACATAAGGATACATGGGTAGACATCTTAGCGATCAGTATAATAAAAGATGAGTCTATCTCTCAGTCTTTCACAAAGATGTCCAACATTTTATTATAGTGCACCAGAAATTCATTTTTTTGTAAAAACTTTTGTTACTCCCCAAAGGAAGCTTAAGAAGCTCGCTAAAATATGTACGGTCTCGACTAATGCCAAACTCGGCATCATTTCTCGTCAGCGAGAAGGAAGATATCTGCCCCAATTTGCCAAATAAGCATTGGAAGTTCCTGTAAGCAGATTGGTGTTGAAAATAAACCATATCGGTTAACGGAAACGTTCACAATGAAATATAAACTAACAATACCTCAGCTTTTTAAGTTTTTTACTCGTTACTTATAAATTACAAGCAATACACGATAAAAACGTCCGTATACATTCTACGAGAAAAGAATTAATCAGCCATATGTATGGGTGTTTAGCTTCTTCATTTTTTCCTATCTTCATTACGACAAAGGTGGTGGATATATAAGATTCGGTAATAGCCGAATATTATTTGCTTACTTCTTAACTTCTTTTCTCTTATTCTTTGGTTCTTAGTGGCCGACATAATCGACTGAAACATTTTTTTTTTCTATTTTTGGCAGCATAAACCATGAAATATATATTTTTTTGACCATTCCAAGGCATTGAATTGATTATATGTCATTTCTACTTGTACAGTGGGAACGCCACAAGAAAAAGTGAGCTGAAACTTTTCATGTGTATTCCTCGTTAATAGTCACAAACTCCAATCACTTTATATCCCGGGCCGAAGGGGATCGAAAGAATTTAAAATAATTAAACTTAATGCGACCAAATTTAAAGTATCGCACATAGATGCAAATAAATGCGAAATAGGAATAAAAACAATATTATTTATAGCTCACAATAAATAACGAAGTCGCTCCTTATATTTATTTGTGATGGTTAAAGGATTGGTGCAAAAGTGGGTAATTATCATAGATTTCCCATTCATAAAATAGATTTCAATATAACTTTTTACGTTGTTGCGATTCGAGTAAAAATATAGAAAAGTAAACCTAGGTTGAAAAGCCGTGAATTTTCTTGAAAGCGGCTTATTTTTAATTTTAACGATCATACAAGTTGCTGACAATAGGCGTGCCACTTTCGGGCACAACTTCAATTTCGGATTTCAAAAAAGTCGCCTGCATTAGAGGCTTACTAATATTTGTTCTTTGAACAGAGCTTTCATAATCGTTTAGGAAATAAGATGCGAACAAACTGCTTGAACGCAATCCCTAAACAAAAAAAAAACCTTTAAAACATCGTTTTCTTATGACCACATACATACTCACCAGTATGTATTTCTGGGTTAAATTTGTAACTTGGCAACATATCGATTTCGTTGCGTGCCAGACCCCGCGGCTTAGCTTCACCCAAACGTTCAGCCAAACTCAGCAACGCTTCATAGTTTTCCGTTTCATTTGTATCCGTGGAATTTAATTCGTGTTGATTATACGATGACAATGGAAACATGGCTCTACAAAATTTATTGTAATTAATATTTTTGCTCCTCGTTTCTTCGAAATGTGCTTAAAAAAGGACAAAAGAAGACTTACAAGAAGTTTAACAAAAATCCGGGGCTTATGACGCCAGTCGCTTGTATTTGTAAAGGTGCTGGCTGATGTGGACCCAGCGTTGGCGGAGACAAAACATGACGGGTAGTATTGTGAGGATGTGTAGCCGGCCAAAAGCGTGTAATGCGTCGCGGATGTGGAGGGAATGTTCGCCTCTGTTTTATAGGAATAATGGATAGAAAAGAAACGCAATGAGTTAAGGTAGAATGCCCAATAGTAACTTACCTGAAAACTGACCTCAGCGGATATGATGATTTGATGTGGACCTGAGAGAGCAGCAGCGGCAGCGGCGGCTTCCGCAGCAGCAGCAGCAGCGGAGTGCAAATGATGTGCTGAAGCAGCTGTTGTTGTCATTGAATTAATGGTAATGGGGGTGGGTTGCAATTGTGCGTGAGCTGCGCTCGTTGCTGAAGTTGTGCTCTGATGGGGATCGAGAGAAAGGCCAGCGACAGCTGCTGCAGCAGCCGCGTCCGTACGTTGGTGCTGATAATTGGCAGCAGCTGCCACAGTGGCTGCAACTAACGCTGCTGCTTGTTGCGATTGATGTTGTTGTTGTTGGGCAGCGGCGGCGGCAGCAGCTACAGCTATTTGCTGAGGTGCCGTTTGTGTAATTTGCAATGGTGCACCCGCAGCGGCCGCAAAAGCTCCAGCGTTGGATGTAAATTGTGTGGTATGCGAATTGCAGGCCGCCTGAGTTGCGAATGGACGAGTGTACACGCTATGCAGATGGCAAGGCGCTAGACGAGGTTGAGGAGGTGGTTGAGCGGGATAGTTGCATATTGAAGCCCATATTGGTTCTCCACGACGCAAATTCAAACTTATAGGCACCTGATTAATATCCAACATTAGTGGGGGTGGCTGAGACGGTGGCAAAGCCGCTGCGTTTTGAACTTGATTATGATGATGAGACGCTTGTGGTGCGGGCGGTGTTGGTTGCTGCAGTAGAGTACCTACCGCCGTTCCAACGGTATTTCCTGTAGCTGTTGCAGTAGTACCTACTTGTTGTATTTGATCCCACGGTGGACGATATTGATGAGGATGTGGTGGTAATTGCGGTTGTTGTTGCTGAAGATAATTTTGGGTATGTGATTGTTGCTGTTGATGTTGCTGTTGATGTGGTTGTGGATAGTTCACATAGTTGTGATGAACTGGGCCTTGTGGGCTATTACCCACAACGCCACTGCCCCCTGCCACAGCACCCATCATATTTGAATCACGCAGCCGTGGCCGCCGAATTGGTGGACTTCCTTGTTGCAACTGAAACAAATGATAATCAGGTGAGTTATCCAACATATGGAAGCTATTTACCATGATGCGAGGAGAACGTCTTTGCTCCCAAACAGATGGTGGTGATTGACTGGGCATGCGACCCGATATACGGCGTCTTTTTCGCGAGGGGCTATCAGATTTTAAAGCATTATTAGAACCATTCAGTGATCCCGTGGAAGCCGATAAGCCCGATCCGGACGGCACGTCTAATAATGATGATGCGCCGCTTATTGTAGACAAAGGTGCCGACAGTCCCCCGCTGCCACTGTATTGGTTGCTTTGATTACCGTAGTAAGTGCTGCGATTGAAGCCCGGGTTGCCGCCATGACCTTCCAAGTGTAGCTGAAAATTTTATGTATGCCCGAGCATAGTTAAATGAGTTTATAGATCATATTAGTAATAATGACGCCTTACCGAATTGTTACCGTTGCCAGTATTGTTGGTGTTATTATTAATATTGTTAATGCTGTTGTTCCTCTCGTATAACCCTGAGCTTGACACGTTATTACTATTATGATTATTGTTGATGCTACCGATACGAGTGTGGTGGTTTACGTTGTTATGCCGGCCGTTATTGCTTCCGTTTTGTACGACATCAGCATATGATTGGTGCTGATTATTATTATTATTGTAGTAGTTATGCAAAAAATCTCCACCGCCATTGTTATTGTTGCTGTTATTATTACGATGTGTCAACAGGTTGTAACTGTTTCCAGAATGACCTCGGCGGTAATTATTGCTATTATTGTTGTATTCGTTAATACCGTAACCACGCCCACTATGAAAGCCTTGGGGGCGTTGTGAGTGATATGGTTGTTGCTGCTGCGGTTGTTGCTGCTGCGGTTGATTATTGCTATGGTTGTTTACGTTAATTTTGTTGTTGCAAATATTATCAGTCATATTATTGTTGTTATAATTTTGTAACGACGGTGTGACGGTGGTTAATTGATTTCCGAAATTCCCCATTGAAGGTGAATTTTGAAGTGGCGATAACAACGACGATGACGCCGGTGCCAATAATGACGACGACGACGTCGTTTGTGTGGTCAACGTTGAAAGTCGTAAGTGAGAGGTGGATGATAAAGAAATCGGAATCGCAGGTACATTTAAACATATTGACGATGAATTTTTTTTATTGTTATTGTTGTTATTTGTTAATTGAGGTATCAGACGATTAACGGCAGTTGCCGTCGTTTGTGTTGTCGATGTTGTTGTTGTTGTCGTTATATAGGAAGACATTAAACAATGTTGTTGTTGTATTTGGTATTGTTGAGATCGTTGGTTCGAGGTTTGTTGTTGTTGATAATTACATTGATGACGTTGTTGTTGTTGAGACGCATGTTGAGGTATAATTTCATTACAAGAATTTACATTCACAACATCAGAACAGTTACTATTTGTATTGGATGGTGGTTGTAGTGGATTTGAAGTTGTTGTTGTTGTTGTTGTAGTTGAGTTTGTTAGCGGAAGGGATTGGTGATTAATTGATTGGTTGTGGTAATGATGGTGTTGTTGTTGTAGTTGTTGTAATTGTGGTTGGTTTTGGTGATTATGATGGTTGTGGTTGTGATAATAATGATTACGATTACTTTGATTATGAAAATGACGCATATAATGACTACTACAGCTACTAATATTGTTATTATGGTTATATTGGGAGCAAAGACTTGAACTGGGATATTGGGAAGAAACGGTATTTGAATGTGACGAATTCACGATTGGGCTTAAAGGAGTTGATGCACTATTTGATATTGAATTTGCTATTGACACTGAACAACATACACTGCTGGAAGACAATAAAACAGGCATTCTTAAGCTATTCAAATGTTGAAAACAATTTTTAGGCGATAAAGGTTTATTTAAATCACACATATTGATACAATTTAGAGGAGAATTTTCTGGATCTTTAGGGCTACTTAAGGATGGATATTGAGCATTTGCGATATTTGTGGGAATAGAAAGTGATACGCTGGCATTAGTGGAGGCAGCATTAGTGGTAGATGTAACAATGATTGTGTCGGTATTTGATAATTGTAGCTGTTCTCGTGGTTGTGGTGGTGGGTGCTGATACTTTTGGACAGTATGACGTTGTTGTTGGCTACTACTGTTATTATTTGTATTGCTTTTGTTTTTACTGTTATTATTACTGTTAATATTACTGAAATTGCTATGTTGATGACTTTGATGATGGTTATGATGATGATGATGATAATGGTGATGGTGATGATGGTGGTAATTATGATTATAATGAGGACTAAAGTGATTTTCTTTGCTATTAGTAGAACAATTTCCATTATTACTTGTTTGTACATCGCTGCATTCAATCATAATTTATTTGGACAGATTTGTTTTTAATTTTTATTTAAATACATTTTTAAACAAACATTTTAGTTCAGAAAATTTTGGTTGAATCAAATATGCAGTAGTAGTAGTAGTAGTAGTAGTAGTAGTAGTGATGGTGGTAGTAGTAGTAGTAGAGTAGTTAAAACACAACCCATAATAGTTATTTATGCATTTACATGTACAGTTATATATATATACGTTTTTGCCACATATATAAAAATATGTATATATATATATATTTTTTTTTTTTGTTCAATTTTTATATGAAGAAGAAAGAAAAAACGAAAAAAGAAAAATAATATATAAATGCCAAAATGCAATATTTAATAATAATAATAATAATAATAATCGATAATATTAATAGTTTTATAATTTATATACACACATACAATTAAACGGTTATATATTATATTTATATATATATATGTAAGAATAAGAAAAAAAGTACATTATTAAATATAATTTATTTGCATTTAATGCACACTACGTTTGAAAAAGTTACACAACAGAACAGTATGCCATTCACTTGAAAAATTCTTCTCAATCACCTTGAGAATTATGTGAAAAAACAAAACAAATAATAGTTCGTATATATTAAATGATAATAAGCAAAATCCATAATAGGTACGTACATATATATATATCTGATATATATATATATATAAATTTTCTAATTGGTGACTGAATCAATCAATTGTATGTTTGCAGGATTATTTTTCGTGTTTATGCTTGATTAAAAATTAGTGCTGTTTTTGTTAAATAGTAATGCAAATGCAAATAAATTTATTTCAAATTACTACAATGACTGAGAAGAGCAGCATAAGTGAGAAAGCTATTATTTATTTTATATAGACTACTACAAGCTTAACATTCAGTAATTGGTAATGGGTTCATTGCTTCAACGTACGACTGCACGAGAGGATTTTTTCTTATCTTTTTCGGTAACGCAAACGAGCACGTAAACGCAAACTGACGTAGCTGTAGTTTTCGTATTCGCGGACGCATCTCTGCTTGGTGTCAAAATTTGGCATAGAGATTTTATTACACATAAAATAACATAAAAATGTTTCCAAATTTCAAGTTTTAATTCAAGAAAAAAGACGAGCAAATTTTTAATTTTTTTAATAATATTGAACGTAGGCTGACAAGAGGGAAAATGAGAAAAACCTTAGCAGCAATTTTTGCTTCATATCAGCGATTTTAACAGGCGATTGGATGGACGGACTCACACAATCGGACCCATTACGCTAATAGAGTATGCAATTAATTTGTATACGTTGCAAACAATCGGCAAATCTAATATTTCATGTGTGGTGAATATAAAACATAGGTATGAAGAACGGGAAAAGATGATTTTCTATATGGGTTCCTGCTAAATCAAAAGCCACTGATCGATTCGGAAACTGTTGTGATTGAATTGAATTGCGGGTTGTAAAAACAAGTAAAAATGCTATTATAGGTTAAGGACTGCTATTAATTGCACTACATTACTTCGCTTAATATAGTTACATACATAACGACTTCTAAAAATAAGGCGTTAGGCAATGATCGAAAAAATTGTCCGATCCGTTCAATTATGATAGCGTTGTATACCAAAAATCATAACAAAATTTTAAAAAATTACGACTTGTAGGTGAACACAAGAATAGAAAATGGATAGACACACTTAAAAGGATTCAGAATCGATTCTGAAAAGGTGGGTCTACCCCAAGTGCTTATAGGTGTTGCATATATCCGCACAAATGTAATATACGCTTGCACCATAAGTGGTGTAGAGCGCAAAAAAAAAAAAACTACAAAATTGAGAAATGATGATTGAGAAGAAATAACTAAGAAAACCGAATCTTTCACAACCATCACCGTCATACTAGAGAAGCTAAAAAAAAAGAAGGTTTTTTTATCTTTTTACGACCACAAATGCGCTAACCACAGCAATTTTCAAAATTATCCGATATAGCCCTCATCCTTCGGCGATGGATATAAAAAACCTCGATTCACGAACGTGTTAAGAGCGAACCATGGGGTCGTATAGCACGCAACAAACGTTTGCATTTGAGGACTTCGCTTTGCTATCGGTATCCACCTGCCACATATATAAGAAAAATTTCATATTTCTGCGCTTCGTTTGAGGCTACATCTTAATTTATGTTTTTGACGTTTTCAGCTTTATAAGTTTGCCTTCCAAATGCCTTATGCGTTTGATCTGTGGTTTCAATAAAATTGAGCAGCAGGGCAGAAAGCGAAAAAACTTCAAGTTTATTTGAAAATCGGTTTTTTATATATCACTGAAAGTTTAGAGATATGTTCATTTTGTTAAAAAGCTTGCAACGCCCCGATATATGTACATATATATGCTTGATCGGCAGAAAGATTGGAAGTTCATGCCCGCAGAGTGGAGTTGAAAATGGGCCAATCGGAGGATGAGGAGGCCAATGATCGGCCGACAATTTACAAAAGAGTTTGAAAATGGCCCAAGCAAGTTCAAGAATATGCCTATAATGGCCACACGCTTAGACATCCAAAACTACAGATACCTTTGCTTTCCGTGTCTTTTGCTCCTTGCTTATACTCTAAAACAGATACACGAAGTAAATTTCCCGAAAATTATTCTACAATGTCGAAAATCAGCCACGCCCGTCCAATACTACGGAGTGTGCAAATTTATATTTTTATTTTTTTTTTCGATCTTTTATAGAATAACAGCGATAGGTATAAAAAGATTCGACCGCAACCGATTATAATTTTTTTATTTGTTTTCGATTCAATGTGAAAAAATAGCCTGAGAAGCAAAAGCACAACCAAACGTTATTTCCTGTTGCATTCTATCGAGGAACTGTTAATTACGATAACAAAATAAATTTGATTTCTTTATAAAATATGTTTTCGGTGCAGAATTCTATACATTCGTTGCAAACGGTACATATATAGCATTTTTTATACTTTCTCCTTTTTCCTTCCAAAGTACGGCTTGCTCTAAAAAGTATTTAGCTTTCTGACTTGTTTCTTCTCAAAGTTTAATGAAGACAAACAATATATTCTTATATGTAAATGCACGTATGCGCTGTGATATCATCATGCTAAACAAATCGTCTTGTACTTGAGAAAGGGTGTCTTCTTCTAAATGAAGAATTCGCACTTGTACGCTACTACACTTATGTTGTTAGTTTTAAATTAAATGCATATAATTTTTAAAAATGTTTATTGTATCAGCACCACCAGTTGGAGCAGCACGCAATCACCGCAATACGGTTTAAGAAATTCAAAATAAAGTCATAAGCGAAAAAAACCAAACAAACAGTTAAATTTATTTTTCTTTTTAATAATATAATAATTTCATTTTATTATAAAATACTTTTTTATTTTACATATGGAATGCGTTTGTGTATATGTGTTATTAATTGATCCTAACAGCATAAATATTGTAATATAAAAAATAAATTATTTTAACTGTAAAGCTTTTCAACAAACATACACAATGATCGATTACGAAATACACTCACAAAAAATTGC